GGACCGTGAACTGGCATTCTTTGCTTGCATGCGGTGCCCGTGTCTTACTACATGAAAGATGCCAGTTTCGGTATTAACCATTTTCATCCATAATCTACGATTGTCAGCTATCACGAATTTTGTTAACTATTTTCGAGATCACTTGCTGATGTACGTGTACAAAGATAAGTAACAAACTTTGTATAGAGTGTCCCAAAAGTCACTTTAAATCGGAAAATGAGGGGTCCTAAGGTCATATGAAATAACTTTTTCCTTAGCGCACATGCAATCTACTGCTTTGTTTATGAGTTATTAATGAAAAACGCTGACCAATGAGAGACGAGCTCGACTGGCGCAAGGCGGCCGAGTCAACGAGCGGACGGAGTCCAGTTCAAGTCATTGGCTCGGCCACCTCACGGCACCTGATCCTGCCTCTCATTGGTCACCGTTTTTCATTAATAGCTCGTAAATAAAGCCGCGGATTGCAATTTACGCTAAGGAAAAAGTTACTTGAAATGACCTCAGGAACCCCTCATTTCTCAATTGTGAGTGATTTTTGGGACACCCTGTACGATTGACTTTACTATATCGTGAAAGATGAAACTCATAATTAACGTCAAAGATTTATAGCTCGTGATATTGCTGGAAACATTTTTTAATTAGAAATTGACAGATTCGAATGACACGTGAATTTATTGTTTTACGTACTGTAGACGCAAAGTTCCCAGGTACTTTTAATTTCTTCGGGAAAGATTGTTTAGTCAAATATTTTATTCGGAGAGATGGAAGAATCAATACTTTCTCTTATATTTTTCAAATGTATAACTTTTAAACACTGAAAATGTCTTTGATTTTAGAATGATCGAATTTATTGAAATCGCATGCAGATTGTAATTTCCATGTGTATGGAAATATGGTTTGTAATTTCCATTTCCACATTCCACGACAGAGAGTTGAGTAACTAGATCATGTATGATCCATACTGGGTGCTGTACCGAAACTCCAGTAAGAATGAAAGATAACTTGTTAATGAAATTTATCTATTGTTGACTTCGTTTTGGAAAAAATTGATTGTGAATCTTGTATGGAGACTTGACTGTCGTGTCTGATCAATATTGGCCATATCTACTGGATGTAGGTATGCATAGATGGTGTTGATTAGAATCGTCCACCTCTATGCATTTATCAAAATTTATTATTTATAATCCGTGAAAACCTAAAAACATAAAAAATTGCGTAAAAATCCACAGTGTAGTGACGAATGAATGTTTAACTCTTTCCATTTTATGTCTTAAATAAATAAATTGTCTCTACTTTTATCGTTCATCGTTTCATAATAAATAATTAGGGATTGTCAATTAGATATTCAATCAAATAGCCATTATACAAAAAGATTAAAAACTAAGTTCCATATGTTTTGGACGATAATTGGAAGAATGTATTTCACGTAAAAATAAGCAACTTCAAATAGCAAAAGAAGTAAATACATATAAAAATTTATTTTTTTGTGATGAAATATTCTTCTTATTGTAATCAATAAATGATATTAAACAATTATTTTGGAGTTTTGGACTTTTAAAATACAAAGTTAAGTTTGTACGTGTAAAAACTGTAGTCTTTCCATTTACCTTGATACAAAAATCGAAAAGATCTTTAAGTAGTCGAGAACTTTCCGTCGACAGCATAGATCAGCATATTTGACAAATGTTTACCGAGTTATTAGATTCCATCGAAAAGAATTCAGAATCGCTCTTACGTGTCTGTGCTAATATTTACTTTAATCAACGAATTAAAACTGTTTCCAAAGGATAATTCTACTGCCGATACAATAGAAACTTCATAAACTTCTACAAATATCAATTTCCTCAAAATATGAAAGAAACGATAATTTATTATACAATGGAATTCATAGCTTTGACTTAATTCAACCATTAAAAAAAGTGCAACGAATTACGCAAAGCATTTTTTTCCTCTGGAATATACCATAGTCAATGTTTTTTTAAATAGAAATCGCAGATTGCTTCCAAGCAATTTCAACATCGATTTTTTTTAGGAAACAAAGCACAGCACAAAAAAATCAATATGCAGGCTTTCTATTTTCAATTTTCCCATTTATATTTTGCATGGAGTTTTTCAAACCTGATTTCGAGGTGACTGATACCTCCTGATATTTTCTCCATTTATTACTAACAAGAAAGGGTTTATTTATTATTTTTGACTTACTATTACTTTTTACTTATTATTTTTCACGTATTATTATTTATTTATTGAAAGAAATTGTTGGCGTCTAGAACAGATTTCTTTTAAATAGGCTTGGCAGTCAATGTGTTAAAGCGAATATAATTATAATTTCAATTTTGTGTCAATTCTTTGATGTCTTCGGAGTCAAAATGTCCACTTTTTAATTTTGAAACTATCTTGTTCCAAAACTTTTAATTAAGCAGACGTAATTCCATTTTATAGCTTGAAAAGATCCCATAATTTTCTGCTTACATCTTACTTTTAGCTTGCAACAATCGTTACATAATATCATCATATTCTTTTTCTAGTCTATTTTTTACGATACAGGTTGTATCAAAAGTCATTCGCAAACGGGAAATGAGAGATTCCTGAGGTCATTTGAAGTAACTTTTTCCTTAACGCAAATGCAATCCGCGGCTTTGTTTACGAGTTATTAAGGAAAAACAGTGACCAATGAGAGCCGAGATCAGTCCACAATGACTGGGCTTCGACCGCTGATTGACTGGGCTATTTTGCGCCTGTCCAGCTCGCCTCTCATTGGTCACCGTTTTTCGTTAATAACTCGTAAACAAAGTTGCGGTTTGCATTTGCGCTAAGGAAAAAGTTACTTCAAATTACCTCAGGAACCCCTCATTTCCCGCTTGTACAATAATTTCGGGACACCCTGTATTATAGAGAATAGATTCTCGGTTAATTGGTGACGTTCATTATGATTGAAGTATTAATAAAAATGTGATATCATAACTTTACATGTTATGCATTCCTAACAATATTGCTAAGCGTAGTTCGCGAAAAATGTAGTCGACGAACGTTATAGCGCAACACGAATCAAATGATACATGGTCAGTATCTCTACGACGTGCTCATACGTGGGGAGTCGACGAAAACCGCAAATTCGTAGTGAAGAATCGAGGAATACGAATGTATTTGATTTTCTCTAAAACCAATGGCAGTATACTACCGGGGTAGTTCCTCGACATTATATATTTCCTGAATTTTCTAGACAGAGAATGGCCGGAATACGTGCAGAAACGGATGACTCAATTATGATGAGAATTGAAGCTCGTAAAATGAACAAACGGATCGAGAGCGTGGAAATTACTGACCCGTCGCAACTGTTGCCGGAAATTTCTAGATACTGTAGCGAATTTTTTGCGAACGAGTCACACACGAAATATTTAATTATTCTCGATTATCTGGAAATTATTCATGTCCGTGTGTCGTTAAAATTGTAAAACGAGCAACAGACATTTACTTCGACAGCAAGAAAAGAGCACGCGATCCCTACGTTTATTAGTCTCTAACGTCCAGAAGTGAAACACTTATCAAAAACCATTTGCCTCTAAATTCCATGTAAAATAACTTTGTAAAATGATTCGATGGCTTGTTCTGTCATGTAAAGTAACAACAATCGTTTAGGATATAAATTGAATAGCTTTTGTAAGAAGTATTTCATTCAGCAAAGTAAACGTTTGCTGAAAAAATGGCGAAGCAATACTATAGAATAATTAGTTCAATGGTAAGAGAAACTTTAATTTTCTGTTAACGTTTCTTCCAATATTGTCAATTGCTGTGAGCTAATTTCTAAACAGTTGCAACAGTACAATGCTACATTTAGTTGCATTGTAGCATTGTTTCCTGCCGATTTGGCATTCACATAAAGTATAACTTCATGTTCACGGTTTAATAAAATTGTTAAACCATATCTACGTTTTCTTACCTGCGTAAAATTTATAATTGTACATAAATGGTATATTCAAAGCAGCTTTATCAAATACCACGACGATCAAAACGTGATCGTCGTAAAATATAAAATCGTCTTCCTGTACAAACGTGTACTATGTTGGGAAAACGATGTTCGCGACACCCCAACTACTCAGCGGATTTTATGCACTCGTTTCTAAATTTAGTATAAAGAAATACCTAGCATCGATGATTATTATTTTAGAATTTGTCAAAGTGTGCGAATTTGGAATCGCATATATTCGCGCCAAATTAACAGTATTTTCGTTTCGCTTTTATCACTGGAGGGCTTCAAAAAATATTTTCCCGTCATATTCCGATGTTTTGGAAATAACGCGTGAAAATGAAAACTTGCATAAAGAAATGCTGCCTGTTTGTAGATGGAATATCCCGTTGAACATGTCCAAAAATAATGTTCAACTGCAACCGTTCTGGGAATATTCGAATTTTCACATCGTATAAAAAGCGATATTAAATAAAAGTTCCGTTCCTGATAAATCAATATTTTGTAAAATGATCTCCGAAAAAAGACAGAATTTGCATAAATATTCAAATTTCATGGTTTCATATAAAAATCAATATTAGACAAGAATTCTTAACCGACAAAGCAATATATCGTAAAGTGATTTCTGAAGAGCAGGATTTGCATTTGTACCATAATTTCATAACATACGAGAAGCAATATTGAACAAAAATTCTTTAACGTCTTAAAATGATTTCTGAAGAGTACAATTTTCATAAATGTCCAAATTTCAGAATATAATGTGAACGTGAAACAAAAATTCTTTACTTATAAAAACGACATTTCGCGAAGCGAAATTCTGGAAACTTTCGCAGGAATACCAAATTTCGTAGGAACCTATGAATAAAGAAGAACTTAACAATGTTGCATAAACGATCCGCTGCGTAGTTATTAGGTCGATGTCGACATAAAATTATAGCAATGAATGAAAAGATGATTCAGTTGTGCTTAACGTGACCTACCGTAACGACACGCCGTCGAGCGGCGCCATCTTGAAAAAGAATCTTCTACTCACGTGTTTCGTGTCCGGGTATCCGGTGATCTGTTGCAACTTGCTGCTGACCAATTTAGTCCCTGGCTTGGTGGGCTCCTCGCTCTTGTGCCATATCCCGATCACACCGGTAATTATCACCGCCACTAACGTAATTATCCCGATCAGCAAGGACAGGGTCACGATCTTGCTACGAGGCGATATTACCATCGCCATTTTTCCGCGTCCAGAATCCAGATCCGTCCCCTGAGCACTTGCGACGCCAAACTTTCAACAAACTGTTCCCACCGACTATCGACGGATCCGAAAATTCTCAATCAATAACTCCGATTAACATCAATATATCATTTATGTATACATATATCTAGGTATATGAATATATATTCATTTATGTGTGTGTATATATATATTTCTCTCTCTCTCTCTCTCTCTCTCCCTCTCTCTCTCTCTCTCTCTCTGTTTGCAGTTTGGAAACGGGAACGTGGTAGATCAACTATAATATTTCTTTGACACGGTCGCACGAGACTGACTGCAACGATTTTTCCAGTACAGACTCTCGATAGTATTATAACTTTATTATGTCCTCGCATTCGAATATCGACGACGAGTCATCCGTGTCCTCATGGACTCTCCTTGATCTCATCTGGCCGCTTCGATTGATCACCAGAGGGACTCGCGGCCTCCGCTGAACCTCTTCGCCAGCAGCTCTCAATGGCACCGGCCTTCGTGTCCCATGCTGCTCGGAGAATTTCGATTTTTCCCAGTTTCCCCGGAATACTGCTAAGGTTAGTCTCCTAAACGTGGACACTCGTGCGCGCGAGCAGCGGCTCCGGATCAGTTCCGTTCGACTAGAAGATTTCGATCACGTCCCCCACGTCTGGTTTCCCTTTCGGGAAATTTCCTGCGAATCCCCGCAACTTCTTGGGTATATTACTCGGCCTCACGTGCAGCTCGTGCGCGCCAGCAAGTTTAACACTCTCGGTAACTTTCCCGAAACTCGCTCCACCAGGAATTTCTTCGCATCGCCTCCGCGACAGTGTTATCCGCGTTTCCCGGACACCCGGTAAACACTCGCGACGTTAACGCGGAGCTGCTATATTGCGAATCGGCGAATCTCCTGTCACCTTTCCAGAGAAGCTTCGCTCATCTCGAACGCCTCAATTCCTGTATACGCTTCTTCCTCCTCATTTCACGCGGATTCCACGATAGTTCCCGCAAGACGCTCGAAGAAGGTCAAACTGTTACGCCAGTCGAAGCTCCGGTATGTTCGTCGACCGATGTTCAAGTCTCACAACGAGATTCGACGTCGACGAATTTCAATTCGACGGAACGCGCGGCTTCTCGTTTCCATCAATTCCGTGCCTCATAAGTTAACTCTTCGTTCGCGAAGATGGCGCGACTCTTTCAAAATAGACTGTCTCCCAGCTGCGAGATTGTTCTCCTCGAGGGGAGATCAAGCTTCGTCTGCGGTCACTTCGTGAACACCCGGTGCACGCTCGCGCGGATCAACAAGTTTAACGGCCGCGAGGAGTCAACAACAACTGGTTGCGATAAATTCGTCTGAATAATCAACAATGGACTTCTCTTCGAGAATTGTTACAGCGAAACAGTCGAGCCGAGTCGGTTCTCGACGGATAGACTCGTTTTAATGAGACCGCGAAGACAGTTCTCGAGAACCTTTTTCCCTCTACTTCTTGCGCCGTTCCCTCTTGTCCTTCCCGATTCGTCACATCCCTTTCATACCTCTTCAAGGCTGGACCTCGTCCCGCAGCAACGAAGCGGATTCAACGGACCCTTGGTTGCCGGGGTGCTCACCTTCCTGGGTGTTAGGAAAACAATGAAACCTCACGAATTTTTCATTGCCCCCTGCGACGGGAATTCGAGCGATACTCCCCGTGTTTGGCCTATGTCTGAACTCGCGGATGGACGTCGGACAGATTGCGATCGGGCAGAGAGGCTCTCAGGGACTTGGGAATGATGCTTGGCAACCTCCTTTTGTCAGGAGGACCGCCGGGTCAGTGACACAGTTCATTTGGTAGCTGGATCTACGATTCTCGAGGTGGATAACGCTTTTTGGGGATTCTTTTTTAAGGCACTTGGAAGGCCGCTTTTTGTGCTAACTAAGTGCTACCTACGAGATTGTCTGTTCAATTGGGGAGTTAAGCACTTTCTGCTAGACAAAATTGTTTTGGCAGCTGGATTGACAATTTTCAAGGTGGAGAAACAGTTTTTAGGACTTTTGCGTGCTATGAGTATTACAAGATTTTTAGCTAAATTAAGGAGTTGGATACTTTCTGCCGAGCAAAGTTATTTTGGTGGAGAGATCGATGATATTTAAGTTGGGGAAACATTTTTGGGGGCCTTTTGCACATTAAATACTACAAGATCTTTAATTCGATTGGAGAGTTAGTCACTTTCTGTCGAGCAAAGTTAATTTGGTAGGTAGATCGACGATTCTCAAGATTGTTCAACACTTTTTAATAACTTTTGCATATTATAGATACTGCAAGATTTTTAGATCAATTAAAGGGTTAGGCACTTTCTGCCAACTATAATTAATTTCGTAGCTAGATCGATGATTCTCAAGATGAGGAAACACTTTTTAAGGACTTTTGTACGCTACAAGTATTACAAGATTTGTAGTTCAATTCGAGAAACAGGTACTTTCTGCCGAGTAAAAAGAACCTTTAATAATGAAACGGATAAATAACAACGGGTCCAAAAAATTTGGACACGTCTAGACATAATAGAATTGTGATTTGTTCAAAATCAATAATTATTTTTCTCTTTCATTTTGATTTTATAATTTCACGTGTATTTACCTCTGCAGATGTATTTTTGTTACAAATTCTTAGTTTGTATAAATTAATTTTAATAGCACTAGTTGAAAATACATAAGATAAAAAAGAACTTCTAACTTGAAAATTACGAAACTTATTTTCTGTGAAAATTTTATAAAAAAGAAAAATGGATGTAACATAAGAAAGTAGGAGATTCTGTCATATAATTTTGCAACAAAACTCAAACTATTATTTACACATCTACTTATATTTACCGGTATTTTCGAAATAGATCGAGTCACAAATTTTACTATACGATTACAGTATTTTTGCATAAATTTCATAAAGAAATGAACGACCGTTTTTATCGAATTTCATTTAATTGGCAGACACGACTTTTGACAATTATAGTAACCGCTTACTCGACATTGACAAGCGTGATCTAATTAAAGTTCAATTCACTCGGACCATATCGAAACTTCGATGGCCGGCATAGGAAAAAAATAATGAGACAGTATAATTTGATAAATGGCTCGTACTTTTCGAGAACTTCAGCATCAGCGTGAATTATCTTCCGATGAGAATTTAATTGCTTCAAGAATGGTCTCGGCTAGCACTTGCTAATCAATCAAAAAATAGTTTCAGCCGCCAGAGAATTGATTACTTTGCTAACCTATCGGCTCATAACATTACTTACGTCCGCCGATATACAAAAGAACCGTTTAAAATTGCTTTTCTTGCAACAATTAATTTCCATAAGAAGGATGACTTGCGAAACTGTTGTCCACATGTGGGACAGATTTCGAGTTATGACGGTGATTAATGTTCCTCTTGATACGAAATGAACAAGACGAAGAAATATGTTCTTGTCGGAAGTCTACATAGTAGTCGACAGTTTGAGTATTTGTTATAAAACTGGTGTGGCGTGTGTAAGCGAAGAAAACAGCTAATTAACTGAATAAAAAATTGTTCTCGAAAATTATTAATATCCCGTTGCACGTTCAGACACTAATGGTTCTTTACTATTGTTTAAAAAGAGGAGATTTTTATTTCTGAGTTTTCCATAGCATTCACAATCATAATACGTAAATGGTAGAGGAAATATGAAAATGAAGAATATGTTTTTTATTGCACTTTAAGAATTCTTTTTTGTTATCAATATCACAACATACTGTGAATTCTCATGTTTAAAGAATGACTCTAAAGACAAAAGTGATATGATCTCCAAAGGCAATAATTGTATTAGATTAGACACTGTTGCTAACAACAACGTCGAAAGACATAAATGAAATTTTAAGAATGTATACAATTTTCTAAAAATCAGTTTCATGCGTCACCTAATAGACTAATACGGCAAAAAATACTAATACCATTAGATGAACTATCAATATTTTAAGTACAAATAGTAATGTAAATACTGA